TACGCAAGGTAGCTGGTTGATTCTCTTCAAGCTATGAAATCACTCGAAGTGTGAGTCATCTGCATGGATTTGTCGATTGTCTATCCACATATCTCATTTATTGTACTTCAGCGCAAGCTCTACTAATTTGAACCACAGGTCCCAATTTTTAAAATAGCGGTTTTCCAAGTCGATTGGGAAGACAATATCGTTATCTTACTGAGAATTTATACAGAATGAGTGTGATTCCACATAGGCCAATAGACAGTGGTTTCAGTGATACATCAAGCTGACGCATACTACATATTCTCTTCAGCGCGTTCTATCCATTCCTGGGGATGTGATGGATTGGGAACTCAGGCCTATGGACGGCGTCAAGTGCGTCATTGTGTGCGAAAAGGAAACAATCTTCAGCCATCTCATCCAGACAGGACTGTTAGAAACGCTGCCCTGTATCTTAATTACAGGTGCGTACGTGTTGGTAATTTCCATTCGATTGGTCTAGGATTTTTTCTATCAATACTTTTGCTATCTCTGCCTGTGCTATTTGTACTGTTGGTCTGTATTGACATGATTGATATTGCACAACAATCGTGCCGTACTTCTATCAACGGGAATATGCCTATATCACGCATTACATCATCCTGGTCCGAAATTTTGAAGAGTTTTTTTGCACAGACTTCCCAGCTATGCTAGTAGGTTCGAACTAACAGGGTTTACTTGCATAGGTAAGCATGGTTTAAAACTCAGTTTTTATCGTTCCAATAACGGACGTATCCTTACCAATTGGTGGTAGTATTGAGTCACAAGAAACCAAGTATATATTTCTTTACGCATTTTTTGTGGATCTAAGCAACTATTCTTCCTTTCGGAGGGTTAGTGGTGAGGAGTTTTAGAGACCGGCATGTCTTGTGAACATTCTACTAAATGAGACATTTCCGTTCTCACATACAAGTTCTCATTATTCTGTACCATATTGCTATAGGTCAGGGCTTCCCATCGATTGGCACGCGCACACTTATTGCACGCTTAGAGGCTGAGCTACATCTGCCTATCTATGGGGTCTTTGACTATAACGTAGGTGAGCTGTGTACACGTATGCCCAAATTGCGCATCCATGTTTGCGGGAGGGAGGGAGATTGAGGGTTGACTACAATGTATGGTAGTTGTGGCCCACTATGACCTCTTTACTCATTCATGCGTGTCATGTTTGTCCGCATATTTAGAAACATGTTTTCACCACACCCTAAGAAATTTGACGATATTGCACATGACCATCTATGAAGTATTCTACTTTTCATAGCCACACGTCTGTAGGGTATTGCGCATATACTTCTACAAACGAAGTATGTATCACATGTCCGCGTATGGAAACCTAATGAGAGCGCAGTGGGCCAACCGAAATTTATTGAATATCATCGTATTTTCTCATATATCTTCGTGTAATTATACATGACTCAAGCAATCAGCACCATAGTTCAATGGCACAGCACATTCACCTGTGACCAAAAAAAGCTTCTCCACCTCGCAATATAGCAATAATTAGTGGTTATGGCAACGTGCTCAAATTTTAAGTGACACGAACTTCCAGCCTTCAGGTTACTCAATACATCTAACGTATAAACACGGGCCGCGAGGATCACTTGAGAGTTACCACTACGGTGAGTTGGCTTCGCCATATGGGTGCCGTTTATTGTTTGAATGTTTCGGTATGTGCGAGGATCGCTGGTGTTTTACTACTCCGGTCTGTTATCTCTGGTCCCACCGCTGTGTGTGCATTGCCCAGACAAGGATGACAGAGTAAGGCTGACGGGTGGTTGGAATTGGAATGCACAATTTCTGGTCTTACCATGTGCGAAAATTACTCGAAAACCACTCCTATGTCGAGTCGTTCTGTCCGTTCGTTTCCAATGCATTCTGAATGTAAATGGCTTATGTAGGGCACAAATTTTGAGATATTATACGGCACACGCTACTACTGGACGTGTGAATTGAACTGCAGGTTACTACTATCGCTTCTGTCAATGTTTTTGTTTTACTTTTATGTTGAATTAGTTTGGAGTGTGGTAGGCGATTGGGTTTGTGAAGTGCTTGTTCGATAGCTGCAAGTACCATCACTCTTATCGAAGGGTCGAGTGCACTTTCCTCAGAATACTATCTGTAAGAGTTTGGTACGTCCGCCGTAGCCCAGTTTAGTTTGTTGTCTAGAATCGATCATGCACAGGACACGTTTGTGCAGAGTTTGAGCAGGTGTGGTTGGCATAGATCAAAACTTCAGCCAGTGTTAGGCTGTGATAGGCAGATAATGTGGTCCGTTCAAAACAGTAAACTGTACTATGACTGAACATACAAAAGCCTTTTATTTCGGACTTGAGTATGGCCAGGTCGATAGACTCATGCCACTCTGACGGAGAATTTTAGATGGGTCCGGTTATACCAGACGTTTTCAGCAGTGAGGGAAATCTATTGCTTCGTCTCTGGATGGTAGAGTTGTGTTTAATTCGGATGTAGTTCTACTACTAGACTACAATTTGCGACACTCTCTTTGAGGGTGATTTGACACCACAGCAGACCAGTGTGTCCCCGTTCGAATTATTGCAGCCAAGCCATAAGCGTCCAGTTGAAGGAATATACTGGCATGCTTGTGTGGCTGTCAGTATATTTTGTACTTGTTTTTGGTCGTAGGTTAAGGTGACTGGGCGATAAGAGTGTTATTGCTTGTGCTAATCTGCGTGTTGATATCAAACATAGCTATCTAATCCGGCTTCAAATTATCTCCAGCTACCAACATGCGTCTGTTGGGTCTGTTAAGGCGTGATTTTGAAACCCTCCAGATCCCGAGCATTCAGTATCAATCGCTGAGCGCCAGGTATAAGGCACAATCCAGAGGTTTCTATATTAATGGCTGATCATGGGTTACCAGATATGTATTTGGTATAGTTGTCATCTGGATGTTTTCTGGTTCCCAGGTAAAACCTGGCAAGTTCGTTGTAACCAGTTCTCTAAAAGTTTAAATGTTTTCAACTCCCTCTATTAAACTGTCTGTTGTTTTATTTCCAAGTAAGCAGCTTTGTTTTCAAAGTCATCTGTGACAGCGCACACTCATTTCACATTTCTCGTTCCACATCGTGTTGGCACCTTTCTTCGTTTTTCCAGGTGTTTGTTTACTTTTGATGGTGTAGACAACCTAACTATAGTCGACCATTTTATTTTGTTGTTCGAGATTTGTACCGTGCGCAAGTACTCTACATCGAGCTTTGTGGTTATTAATCAGTGCTTAGCTAACATACAGTGACTACCTTATCCTATGCGGGGATATAGAACACAGTGAGGAAAACGACATATACCATAAGATACGTATCTTTGACGATCGATTTAAATACCATTGCATGTTGCGGGGATGTAGATAGAATGAAGAACACGACATGTACAATAAAATACGTATCTTTGACGATCGATTTGAGTCCAACTAAATATAGCGATTGCATAGAAGGAACAACACTCCCGATGGTATAGGATGATAACCGTAATTCGTTGCATCGATCGCCGCATGCATTGCATAGAGTGTACCGATCACGTATATTGAATCGTGCAGTGTACTACAATACATAGCTTGTCGGGTACTGTGATCTTTATTGGGATGCAATCGGGTTGCTGTAGTATTATTCATAGCCTGTTGACAACACGAGCCAACAAATCACCTGTAGAAAGCCCATAATATATTGTAGTTGCGTTGAATGCTAAGGAATGCATACTAGAATAAACAACCGCTTGCTGCACACACCAGAGACGAGGGTCTCATCGAGGGTCTCGTAAACCACCCCGGCGTTGTGGTATGTCAAGAAGTACCACGTTTTCGAAAAAGGATGGATGTTTGGAGCTCGCTATGCACTTGTGTGTATAAAGATGCACCCCGTGAGGATAGTTTTGTATATACCTAGATATATATGTTGTTTCGTTTTTGTGTATACATGGATATCTGACGCAGAAATTGATTAGATCGATCATCATTTCTAGCCGCAATTACAATCAGCTGTATATTCAATTCCATGACATCGGATATACTCTGCATGTTAAAAATCTAGACGTCGGTGATGTGTTCTGCACCTGCTAGACAATTAATCACTACATACAAATATATCACACAGTTTTATGATTGTTGTCTTTATTGTACGGCAACTATGAAAGCATAATAAACAGTAAAAGCTATACGGTAGAATTAATAAGAATTTGTGCTCTGTACCTTCAATTGGAAGCCTGCTGTCCTGACGCGGTCTATATAAAATTATAAGTAGTTAAATTTTCTTATCGACGACTCTACAATCTCAGTATGTCTGCGCAGGAAATTGTTAGCTTGTACTACCTAGCAAATGAATTCTCCAATCACATGAACAATGAGTAACTACTCACGGCCACTTCACTGTGCACTGCTGCCAACTACGCTGCCAACTCTGCAGTACAAAGTCGTGTAAAAAGTGTTACTATATCGAGCAATATCACGTTTGCTAAAAACAGAAATACGCACTTACATCCAAGGTTAATGAATCTTATTTCATCACGTGTCACAATAGCACTCGCCTGAGTATGTCGCGGAGATCGACCTGATGCGGGAGGGTGGGATCAAACTGGAGCTAGAGGCACTCAGTGCACTCGACAGAGACTGTTTGCGCCGCTATGTATCATACAAGGCCCAAAACGCCGACTACATATGACGATTCAACAGGAGGAAAGTCTCATTTCGAGTACTTATGTGACGGTTGATAGCAATAAATTCATACGTAGAACATAATTGAAATCTAGTGTACATGTAATACTAACCGTCTAGTGCTTTTCACAAAGCTATTTTACTCAATAGTGTATGTGGTGAGGTACAAGTGCTACTAGTTCCATGAGTCTTTTGGATAAAATTGCCGACACCAGTAGAAGTACTCGCCGTCAGAATCCTATGAACAAACAACATACCTGTGTTCAAAGTTCTATTTGAAAAGGTAATGCGGGTGACCGTAGCTTTTGTCGATTCATTCGAGATAAAGTCTAACTTTATTTCCTAATTCGAGTACCGGTAGATCAGCTCGCTAACCATCCGGGGGCTCTCTGTCTAGTATACGGGAGTAGGACACACAGTCGAATAGCCAGGATACGTTCCTGGCGGAGTCGGGGTGTGTCTGCAGCATCGGATCATCCTTTATTAACAGAAATATACACGGAAATTCAAGTAGGGGTTGAATATTCAATATGAACTCGCGAGGGAAGCTAGAAGTGACTATCAGAACACTAGGGTTTGGCACAAGCTTTATTGTGAAGTGTGGTGTTGTGGCTTTCCAAGAATATAATACGGCGACGGGTGAAATTTTGCTCAAACGACTTGTGTATTGCGATGGGTGATCCTGATGCAAGGGTTTTTTCACTCGTAAGGATGTGATGGAATGTTTGGCTAAGAGCTCAAATCGCCATACAGTGGTGAGTGAAAGTCTACTCCTACAGGCGATGTGTATGTGTGTGTATGCGAGTATATGTCTTAATATCCGTCATTGATTTAAGCGAATGGTAGGCACATCCCACCGACCTGTTCAATTTTTAGTTCCCGATCTTTCAAGAGTGAGAGCAAATACGAGCGCAATGGCCGAAGTATGGAGAAATTTGGTACCATGGATGATGCATCCTACTTAATTAGATTGACTCGATACGAATTCGACAAACAGGGAGTGTGGTCACTTTGCGATAAATTGGGAGATATAGTAAGTATATGATTGCGTATTCACACTTATTTACAAGTATGAGCAATGGCATTCTATTGCATTGAGAAAACCGAGAACACAAACCTTCACAAACATGTTGAACACACGCATCGACACATATATTGAAACTCATACCTCAACACATATGGTGAAAGCTGCATAGGTATTCTTTGGCGGATTGCGATCTTCTAACGGTTTCGCCAAGTTTACACCACCTATATGTGCAAGTGGGTTAACATTTAGTTAGGTCAAAGAATTAGCGAACAAGTTCTTAAGCAAGTGTTGTTCACAGGCTCCAAACCACAAAGAGTCGAAAATTCGAGCTTGTCTAAGTATCTGTATGGAGCATTATTATCCCATTCATAAAGTGAGTAAGATGAAGTTACGTTGCAATATCAACAGAACATTTAGCATTAGACATGTTCATTTTTAAATCCAAATATAAATTAAATGAAAAATTAGCAGCTGTTGCCTGTGTTTCCACGGTGATGTGACGAGGCGCGTTCATACCAATACATACACACACACACCTACACACAATATAATTTTTTTTGTATATTTATATAGATATAGATTCAA